CTACCACTGCTAAACACTTACAACAGGAGCAATTTGATGAAAGGGTCGAGCATGGTGTATATTTTGGGAGCGAGAGTGGAAAGGGCTCTTCCTCCACTATACATAGTAGAGGTGCACGGGGTCCTATGGATCAGTACATGACTACTGCAGGAGCAGATAGAGGAGAAGCAGATATGATGCCTGCAGGTGGTACTAGAGAGGGTCGGCGACAGGTTTGCATGGACATTGGGAGGTTTTTTTTTTAAAATGCAATACCATTTAATGTTGCTACATCGCCTGCCTACTTCAGTATGATGCGGTCTGTAGGATTGTATGGAAGAGGGTTGAAAGCACCTTCTATGTATGAGTTGCGCACTTGGATTTTAAAAGAGGAGTTGCAGAACACCGAGCGAAGCATTGGTGAGATTAAAAGGACATGGATTGAGACTGGTGTGACTATTATGTCAGATGGATGGCCTGACATGAAGAGCGGGAGCTTGATGTGCAAACAAAGAGAAGAAATCGGCTATCAACACTCAGAATGAACTCTCTCGTATATATTATGCACAACAAGAGGTTGAGAGAGAGGAGGTTGAGGAATAAGGGGTTGAAGGATGATGAAGACCCATTAGTGTGTGATGATGTGTCGTCTGATAATGAGTGATTCATAGATGATGAGACAGATTTGCCATTATCAGACTTACAGTTAGAAGATCTAAGTGTGGATGTCTTGAGGGGCGAAGCAGATCAAGTTGGCACATCCACTAGTACTGCAGTTGGCACATCCACTAGCTCTGCAGCACAACAATCAAGTAAAGGTATTCCACAACTTCTTATATGCTATTACATTACATTTATGTCAAGTGAGCAATGAACATGAATACTGATAATGATCTTTTATCTTAATGAACAGGGAAGATAAAAGTGAGTCATGTTGAAGATGAAGATGACATGGCATTCATAGATACAATTGGAGAAGAAGATTCACTTGAAGACCCATTTAGTGATGGGATATGATTTCATTTTATATGTTTTTTGTATTTTGGGAGTTTTGTTAAACTAATATTTTGTGATTTTGTACTTTGGGACATAATTTTATTGCATCTACATTCTTATTTTCCACTATTGCTATTATTTTCCTGCTAAAACCCTTAATTTTTCATTTACGCAATTCTGTGTCCATGAGGCTTACGCCTCAGACCGCCTCGAGGCTTACGCCTCGCCTCACGGACGAAAACCACCTCGAGGCGCAGTTACGCAATTTTAAACCTTGATTTGTATATGTGTGCACATGCACACACGTATTTAGACTGTGAAGATTAGATACATGTCAAACTGATGGGGGGAGGATTTAAGCTATCCAAGGAAAACCTTCAGGTTTTGTCCAAAAATTCTTCACATAACTCTGCTTTTAAGCTTCAAAACATCGCCAATTTACAAGTGAAAAGAGGCAGCCAAACAACCCTTTTTTCCTCCAGCCAAACCAACCCAAAAAGGGGAAACAGAAGGCCAGCAGGCGGCCTGGAACAGCAGCCGAAGGAACCACATGGGGGAGGGAATTGGGCAACCACGGGGAACAGCAACAGACAGCCACGGGACAGGAGCCAGCGGAGGAACCCAACGGCCAAATAGAGTGGGGGAGGGGGAATGAACCTAAAGAAGCTTTTATTACATATTAATGAGCCGAACTTAGTAGAAAACACAGCAGCTTGCAAAAGAAATATCAAAAACTGAGATAACCAAGTCCAAACAAGGGATCAAATCATTCCAAAAACAAGGCACATAAATTGCCCCCCCCTACCTATATCAAATTCTTCCCCGGTTGAAACTGCTCATCTCCTGATGATGATGCTTGAGTACGTTCCTAAACAGATGAAGGTCCAAGTTTTGAATCAAAACCGCATATTTTTTAAGGATCATTTCTCTTTCTTGTTTGAATTTGACCTGGAGATTTTGCTTTTTTCTTTTTGTATTTTTCTGTCCACAGTTGCATCTTCATCTGAAGCTTGTATAATTTTTTTTAAGCGGATCGGTAGAATCTCCTTGCGGTGGAATCCATCTGTTGGTTGGAATTTGGAATTTAGGATTTTCTGGATGATTTTCACCCACAAACTGATTTAATGTTTTCTTTTTTTTTTCCATTTTTTCTA